TTTCAGGTGATTGATGAATGAGGAGATGTGATATTTGAATCAGGAATGGTGTGTGGAATGTAGATGGAATGTTGGGTTTCAATTTTTCCTCTTTGAGAATAGTTATACGCCTCTGTGCGATTCATTTGTTTCGAACCCCTTGTCAGAGTTTTTCTTGTTTTTGTACCTTGATTCAGCTTACTCTTATACCCAACCTCTCTCGAGCTCTCACTTCCTTCCTCACCGTTAGGAATTGATTGCTCAAGAGTAAGCTCTTTCACTTCTCTCAACTTCTTCACTGTTTCCTGGATAGCGCTCACATGTGTCTCGAATAGTTCTTTTCGTTCTCTTACTCTCTGCACTTCTGCAGGTAAGGCGTTGATCTATTCCGCCCAGTGTTCATTTCCTATTTGAGTCTTATCATAGAGCTCACCTCATACACCTGTCTGTCCAGGTAAATAGTGCTTCTTGTTATAGTTTTTCACTTATCTATTTGAGTCTTATCATAGAGCTCACCTCATACACCTGTCTGTCCAGGCTGTCTTCTGCTCTATTGCGTAGATTTTTCAGATCCGCATCAAGTTATTTCAGTTTATGATAATGGAGGCTTACGAGCACTGCTCCAGGGAATTGTATGTGCTTTCCCGTAGTAAAACCAGCTGCCTGAGTGATGTGTTGAGTCTTGTTTAAGTTCAAGAGAGGGTGGGTGCGGATGTAAGTTCTGAAAGCTTCCGATGACCATCTACCGATGCATTGGATGGTGTCCATGTCCATACCATTCTGAGCAAATGCGGTAGCACCTCCGGCACGAAGGGAATGGCCTGTCCTTGAACTTCCAAAGATCTCTTTCAGACGATTCATAAACCAACTCCTCGTAGGTTGTTGTCCGTTCTCTCTTACTAGCCAAAAAGGGTAAATCGGGAATCTCTTGTCTCTTGCTACAGTGTATCTGAGTAAGGTTCTTATCGGGCAGTTCCTGTCATTTGGTCTGCTGACTATGGCTACCGGGGTTCCCTTATACTGAGGGTCACCTTTGTGATACGGTAGATTATAACAGGCCACGGTGCCGCACAAGGAGATGACGAGCGTAGATCTTCGAATACATTTTCTTTTATTTCTTAAGCTTAACGTATCCGGGACGGTGAGTTCTCCTAATCGGTGTAAGCCGGCGAAGCCTAACGCCAGGATGGTGTTAAACAATGCGTCATCGAAAGTGTAGTTGAAGTAACTTGCTGCGACGTCCACATCGTAAATGGTAAAAGCGTTGGCTCGGATGATTGGTTTGGATAAAAGCTTTTGGCAGCCGCGGAGTGACTCCTTGACTTTAGTTGATTGTTGAGAAATTAGAACTATGGGGAATTGATGACGCATGTTGTAGGAGATACCTGGGAGATATTTTCCTACTGTGTCGGGATTCACTTCTCTGGAGATGACTGAGATGAATTGGCATAGATTAGTTTCGCTGGGATACACTCGGACATGGTGATCTTTACAAAACTTGAGGAATCTGCGATAGCCGGACGTGTATTTTGCTATGGTCGATTTTTCTAAGCGATTACTGATGTCTGATTTGTTTAATTCTTCGCGCTCTTTGAAAGAAAGTGGAACTGGTTCTATCTTCTTAGATCTAGCCATGATTAGAAAAATAGGAAATTGAATTAAGATTGGAATTAATTTTTTGGTTTTATTTATATGAAGTACAATTACAATTTTCGGATTTCAGGCTAGAGCAGGGAGAGATCGATCTTGGTAGCCTCCAATAAGAGTGGAGGGTTCCGGAGAAAAAGATCGAAGATGGAGGCGAGGGAACATGGAGCGAGCCAGGTTGAATTGTCCTTTAGAAAGCGCGTCTGCTACCTGATTGAATTGCCTAGGAACAAAACGCACTTTCACGTCAATCGGATGCGATAGCATCATGTCGACAGCATGTTTGAACAGTGCCCTGGCGGCTGCGGTTGGCTGGTGAGATGAGAATAGGTAAGAGACTGATTCGGAGTCGGTAAAGATTGCAACTCTTGAAGCCTTAAAATCGACTGCCATTTTGATTGCTGACACAACAGCCAACAGCTCCGCCCAATAGCTGTTACGGGACGGTGGTGGTAAAGTGCAGCTCCAGGCACAGCCGTTGGATGGTTGCCAAAATCCGAAACCGGTGGGACACGCATCTGTGAAGAACATGCAGTCTGCCTCCGTTAAGTTCCAGTGAAGGTGTTTCAGAGTGCGTCGACCTGGCCATGCTTCAAGGGCGTTTGCTAACCAATTTAGATCGTCTACGTTTAAACGATTCAACGGAATATGAGCATTACAGATTGTTTTGCCTGCAATCTTATCCCAAGAGGATTGCAAAGCCCATCTACCGAGGGGAAAGATATTGAGACCCCAATTCGCCCAACCGGTAATGCGCTGCCACTCAATTAAGGGATGAGATAGAGCTGAAGTGAAAGATCTCAGGGCAACTATGAGAGAGATCCTCTTGCCTTCGGGTAATGAAATCGAGACCTCTTCACAATCAACTGAATATCCAATGATATCGAGTGTGCTTCCAAAGACTTGTTTCTCCCAAGCCCATGGGAGGTTGATGAAGTCGAAAATAGACAAGAACTTCGCTTGGTTTAGTGGAATAGTACGACCTTTAAATAAGACCATGTCTGATGCTAAACCAATCCCCCATGAGTCATCCATATACACATTTAAGTCGGTTATATTGAATTCGTAATATGCAATCCAAAGGACTAAAGAGAAAAATGCACACCAGAGTTTTGGAGAGCTCAAACATCCAAAATTGATGTTACGATCTGCGTGAAAAGCATTTTCGATTTTGATAATCTGACGGAATTGCCATTGCCTAGAAACTGGTAGATTGCGAAATGCAGAGTCTACATCAGATTTCCATAGGATGAATTTATGTTTTCCAAAATAATGATAGAGTAAATATGGGATGAAATAAGGAATACCGTCTAAATCTATGGCGATATCTTCTTTATTGATAAGATCATTAGGGGATGGGTTACCGAAAGACATATTTGTACACATTCTAACCTTACCAGACGTGGGATTAGTCGCGAGGCACAAAGGGGATACTTTCATCCCAGGAAGAAGTGTGTAAAAAGGAGGAGAAAATCTGTTTAATTTTACTTCCTTGTCTCTTGTCTTTGTAAGAACCTCTTCTGCTTCAGGACCTGAAGCATGATTTTCATTAAAAACGGTATTACTTGACGGCATTTCAGAGAGTGGCCAAAAACCATCTGTGAGACCAAGAATGATGGAATCTACAAAGGGTTTGTTGGGATGATTTTTTAGGAGGGATTTTAAATTTTTAACATTAATTGAACAATTAATTTTAAACAAATCCGGCCGACGGTTTATAGCGTACTCGGCTTGAGGGTCTAATGAGAGAGGGGGAGCAGCTGGAAGAGGTGCAGCGTGAATTCAGGATGAGCCCCGACCCCCGAATGCCGGGGACTGGGCTGCCCGGCCCACCGACTTTTTTTCAAAAGTCAGAACGAGGACCGACCCCGGTATTCCCCAAGCTTTTTCTGGCTCATAGGTCAAGCCCGGCTCCCGTACCCTGACCCCCGACGAACTACCAAATCCCCGGGAAATTACGGGGATCCCCGAGTCCCCGGCTATTTCCGGCAGAAACCGCTGAGCACAACCTCTCCCAAGCGTGTATTTATCCGCTTTTTACAGCTTGATTTTTCCTCGGGTTCCCCGAGGAGAGTCACTTTCTTTTGACTCTCAGAACAACTCCCGGGCCCGATAATCCCCGCGGTTCTGCGACCCTTCGAAGGCCAGAACGACCCCCCGACCCGACGGGCTGTCCCGCGGGTATCCCCGATTTGGCGGGTCTCGGGGCTCATCCTGAGCGTGAATGGAGGATTCGACGGCGGCAGAATAACCTTTGTCAAGGACATCGATTTCCAAACCTCTTAAATAAGTTCAAGAATTAGGTTTGTCTGTGAGCGACGCTTCCTTGATGATCCTCAAAACATCCATCTTTGTTGCATACCCCGTGTACTCGGTCGCAGTCAGCGGCGCTGAAGGGGCAAACACGAGCATTCCAGTTGTTACAAGGCTGGTCAGCCAAAGGTACCAGACTAGCGTCCTTGATCTTGTACTTTGGCTTGACCCGCCTTCCTCTAGGTTTCTTTTCGGGGCGTTGAGAAGCAGGCTGGCGAAGCGGAGTAGATTGTTTGACAGTTGACCTGGATGCACGAGATGTGGATTGGGTGGTTTGGTACTTAGCTGAAGGGATAGCTGCTTTACCAAGTTTGCTTGTAGCACTATAGAGAATTCGGTTGTCAATTCCCTTGAGTGATTTATGTTCGTAGTCTCCCCACACCAAACTCGGACGAGATGCAAACTCTTTGCGAAGTTCGGCGTCGAAGTCTCGAACGTCCTCCCAATGGACTCGAGCCTGAAATAGACCCGGTAAAGAGAGGACAATACCAGAACCGCTCCGCAACATATAGCGGTATTGGAGCGGTATTGGAGCGGTTTTTACACCGCTATATTGACCACTATACGTAGCGGTGGCTCCGCTCCGCCATCCCAAGGCGAGAAAACCATTAGCGGTCTGACCGCTCCGATATGGGAAGGGTCTGAGGGCACTTCAATATACCTTTTAGCCCTTATAGCAGCGATATATAGCGGTATTGGAGCAGTAAAATACCTTCCGCTCCGATACCTTGTGATATTTTTTTAAAAAAAAATATCGGTCAAGTATCGGTGATCTCATAGCGGTTACTCCGCTCCGATACCAAAATGGGTTGAAATCCATAGCGTATCGGAGCGGTTCTGGTGTTGGAGAGGATGTATTCAAAATAGCTTTTGATGGATAAAGCTGCAGGAGGGAACGCGGCAATGTAGGCGTGTTTGAGGACGGCCAAGAGATTTTGCCAGTGGTTATTGTCGATAATCTCTTTGGGAGCAGATCCTTCGACATTCTTAAGGTCTCTGTCTGCATTAATGCGTAGACGGCTTTGAGGAGGGTCGGATGAAGCCACTGCGCCGTAGAACTTTCAAAGATCAACAAAATTGTATTCGAGTAGGTCTTTTGTGAGAGAATTTTGCCAATTGGCAGGTCTATTTTTACAAGAGTTAAAAGCACTGATATGATGCTTAATATCTGATTTGTACAATAGCGCAATCTGGTTGACTTGAAAAGAGATTGGAGAAAACTCCTCAGGGACAAGGTGCTCGTTGTCATCCAAATACGGGGCAGTTGTGATTGCGCTTGTAAAGGGACCAGCCAGAGCTGGATTTCCAGAGACAGCTGGTGCTGGTAAGCTAACGTTTGATTGAAAAGGGCCTCCAGAGACAGCTGGTGCTGGTCGGGAAGGTCCAATCGAGGACTCATCGGATGAAAAAGAACGCCGACGCTTCTTACCTTTATCAATCCTCTCAAAGATTGGTAAGGAAGGTAATGAAATTTGAGGAGCGGGGGATTGAGCTTTCCGGATAGATTGACGTTGACGTGGCTTGGGTTGGCGAGGCAACGCTGCAGTACGAACCGTGGGTTGACAAGAGTTTTGTTGAAGACGTGGACTTTTTTGAAAACGTAATCCTGTTAAGGAGCAAAGGTCCTGGGACAGGAGGCTGTTCGGCAGGAGGTGGGCTTGGAGAGTGTGCACCAACTGAAAAAGCTTCGGATATGTGAGGGGGAGGTGGAGGAGGACCAGCGGTGTTTGTAATAGCGCTGGAAGGGAACATCGTAAGGTCTTCGAAACGAGGGGGAGACTTGGGAATGGGCCTCTCCAGAAAACCTTCCACCACTCCATAAATATCGATTGTGGGAGGAGGTTTGAGCATACCGCTGAGCACAATGGGAGGATCGGATTGGGGGTCAGGATTTTCAGGCCATTGATACGTAATGGGAAATCTAGGCCTTCCTGCTCTGCGATCGAGCTCGATCGCGACACGGGCAACAGCAGAAAAATGGTAAAGAAAGTTGGGGTCTTCGTAATGATAGATTGACGCGACTTGAGTGCGTAGTTGAGCCATGGAAGTGTTCTTACTGCCACCTGTGTCATCGTAATTGGTGAGGACCTTGTCGATATCATCAAAGATAGCGGTGGTCTCATTGGTTTGATAAACATAATCGGGATCATTAGGAATATCAGTGATCATAATAAGACTGCGATAATGCTTATAACTTCTTAAAATTTATCTCTGATAAAATTTTTTTGATGTAGTAAAAAAGAATCAGGATAATAGTTAGGATGATAGAAAGATGTTATTTTTTGAAATGATAATTATTCGATGTAGCTAATTGGGAATTAGGGAAATGATCTTCCTATGCATCCAATTCTTCTATGACATCATTTTGTAAAAAATCTTTTATGAGAAGAGCATCATATAAGTTTTGTCTACGAAGATTGGATGTGGTTGCGTGATCCGGCTACTTCAGTTATCCGATCCTTTTTCCCCGACCCATTCCCATTCTTCAATACTACGTACCGACTACTAATCATGCTTTGTAGGATGGTCTGATTTCCTGATTGGACGTGGAGATGGGTGAGTGAAATTGAAATGTGAAATGACTCAGCTGGGGTTGGTCCTGAATCTGATGAAATGAGAGCCCGACTTCACTGTACTCGGTACCGATTGGAAATAAGAAGGTTTGAGTTGGAAATCACATTGGCTCAGCAGTTGACCACTCTCACACTTGCGAACCGATCCATCTCACTCGATCTACTTGATAGCATTACAAAACACTAAAATCGTCAACATGCCTCCAGCATCTCGACAAAAGAAGTCGGTCAAGAAGGGTATTCAGTTTGTGCGTCTTTGCTTCGCTTCTAAAGCATCAGGACCTCCGCCGCTAATTGTCTTCTTATATTTCAACGGAACAGACTTTGATGGTGAGTGAGACTTCTGCTCGCATAGAGCACCTATGATATAGAAAACCCCAATCCATATCTGTAATCAACTTGTTTCAGGTCGTAGGAGCGTCGGGTACCGGCCGCACGACATTTGTCAATACCTTAGTTGACGAAAAGGGATGGTTACCCCATGCCGACTCTAGCGATCCCGTCGCAGCTTCTGGTCCGTTTCGAATCCAGGTTTCGAATCTGTCTCTAGAGCTCATTCTTGATTTGTTCATCATTGTAGAGGGGAACTCCCAAATTAAGGTTGAAAAAAAGACGATCGAACTCGATGAAGACGGCGTCCATATCCGATTGACGGTCTGTGATGCACCCGGATTTGGTGACAACATCGACAACGAGTCTGCGTTTGCAACAATCGTCGGCTATCTTGAGAAACAATATGATGTCCTACTAGCCGAAGAATCGCGTATCAAGCGAAACCCAAGGCTTGAAGATCAGCGTGTTCATGCGTTGCTGTACTTCATTCCCCCAACAGGGCACAGGTTTGCCTTTAGTTGAAATTTATGTTTCTAGAACCTTGACCCATTTTGACTGCTTGATACAGCCTTAGAGAAATCGATATCGAGTTGATGAAAAGGCTCTCCCCTCGAGTCAATGTAATTCCCGTCATTGGTAAAGCGGACAGCTTGACTCCTTCAGAATTGAAGGGCTTCAAAGAACGAGTAAGAATACCATTTCTCCCATTTCTTTCATTGAATTTTCAATCCATTGACTCTCGGCTTCTTTTCGATCATGAAGATAATGCAAGACATAGAACACTATGCGATACCGGTATATAAGTAAGTTTCGCAATGGGTCGGGGGTTTCCCCTGGACCTGGTCCTTCCTCTTTCCTGTCAGCTGATTTAGTCTGATTCGTGATTCGTATGTAAAGCTTCCCGTATGATGAGGTTGACGACGATGACGAGGTCATTGCTGAAAACTCGGAGTTGAGGGTGGGAGATTCTTTTACTCTGATTGAGGCTACCATGCATGTCGCTGCTTTCTCATTGACATCGATGCCGGCTGGATATAATCCTATAGGCAATGCTACCATTCGCCATTGTGGGATCGGAAGAGGAGATCGAAGTGGGAGGCGAAATGATCAGGGCCAGACAGCTCCCCTGGGGCACTGTCCATATTGACAATCCTTCCCACAGCGACTTCCTTCGCCTTCGGACTGCCCTGTTGAGTACTCACTTGGCTGATTTGAAAGAAATCACCCACGACGTGAGCCGATCTTACCCCTCTTTAGCTCTTCGGCTTAATGACACAATTGCTTTCTTCACTAGTTCTTGTACGAGAACTATCGAACACAGGCGCTTAGCAGAGGCAATGCGGATCAATTGGATCAATCTATTCAGCCTGATGAGATGGCTAACCAATCCTTCAGACTGAAGGAAGAACAACTTCGTAAAGAGGAAGAAAAACTGAAGGAGATTGAACTTCGAGTCCAGAGAGAGATTAGCGAAAAGCGCCAAGAGTTACTGGCCAAAGAAGAAAGCTTGAGGAACATGGAGGTGCGATTAATTCATAGTCTAGTCTTGCTTCGGTCTTACTGACGCTTTCTCGCTCATTTTCCCAGGCTCGATTGGCACACGCTAACAATGGTTCGATGGATGCTTGATATCACTTATGGGTCACTCGCACTAGAGATCAACCTCCAAATTTCTTATAATCTTGAGTATTGGCGCATGCGATTTGGTCGATATCCTTTTTCTCATACCTCTTAATTTTCTTTCAAAAAGTTCGATTTATATTCTCTGAGTTAAGGGTGGCAACCGTGTGGCTTCTTGCCAGCCACTTACTATTTTGTTTTTATTATCTCTTTGTTGAATTCAGGCCCGTGTTAGTTTGTTATTTGATTGCTTTCAAGAAAGGACTCATGTTTCTTTCAATAAATTGATTGGAAATGAGACTGCACTGCCGAGATCAGACTGAGCCCTTGAAGGCCACAGTTCGGAGTCTAAGAAAACCGTATTGCCCGATCATCAGTCATCATGGGTTGCAGTTGTATGTGCAAAAATGGGATTACCAGAATCTGGCAGAGTGTAGTCATAAGCGTTGGTCACAGCTGCCATCCACTGAGATACTCATGATCAGCATTGGCAAGCAACCGACTTTGCTCAAGAAAAGCAACTTGAACAAAGAGTAGTAGTAAATGAGGGGATCCGGGTGTGACTTATGCAAGGGAGATGCAACTTGTCCTCCCATAGCCGCTCAATCATTCGTCTGCAGAGATTAACTTTGTCTCCTCAAGAGGTCCTCTTTATCATGCTGCATACATCAAAGAAAAACTGGAATTTGTTTTGGTGGGATCAATACTTCATCTGGGTGGAGCAACGTCCAGTGATACTCCTAGCACCATTCCAGCACCGACTCCATTGGTAGGAATATCTTTTGATTGGATCTCGCTTGTCCTGATAGAAACTCCCTAACATCAGATGAGACCATAATTTGAAGATGATGCGGCACAAAATCCTCAATCACAGATTGGATCAGTTGAGCACGTATGGAATATTAGGGTGAAGAATGTTGGTAGCCAGGGCACGCAATTCGATTGCAGAGGATGAGAAGCATTCTCGCCTCCGCAATCACCCACCAGAAACAAGTTTAAGTCATAGCACATCTCAAGGTGTGAGTGATCATTCGACTGTCACCAGCAACATCCCCACAAATATTTAGAACACTGTCTATAAATCACGAAAAACCCTCACATCGAAGAATCAATGTCCAAAATAAAGATCAAGTTAGGAGCCCGAATTTTGCGATCTCTGAAGTATATATGAAACACACAAAGTAAATCAATTTCAAGTCCCATCAACAGAAACACATCACAAAGGAGACCTACCTCTAATTCTCTCAACATTTCTTCCTTTGCTTGAATTTCTAATTTTCTTTGCTCTATTTCTCTTTGAACTCTCATTCCCACTTCCATCACGTTCTCTTTCTCTTTGTTGATTTCTTCTTCTTTTGATTGTAAGAATTGCATAGAAACTTCCTCAGATCCCTCTTGGTCCTTGTCAGGCTCAGATACTCTCTTACTCAACGCCTTTGTCCTATATTTTTCATACATGACCTAATAGAGGAAACACAGTTCAGCTGATGTCTCATCTAATACATAATTGAGGTTTACTCACCTCTTTTGTGATGTCCCGTAGTTCTTTGAGATGTGTACCAAAGAGGACACTTCGTAATGTAGCAAAATCAGAATGCTCATCTACTACGAACGTACCCCAAGGGAACTTTCTACCTGGGACGATCTCCCCATCGAATTCAACATCCTCTTCCGATGCACCTATGGCAAATGGTAACATCTCCTGCAAATTTTTCTTGTATTGAGTGATTGCTTATAATCTTTACGAAAATCATAAAACTTACCCTTAATTCTGTATTTTCAGCGATCACCTCCTCATCATCGTACTCTTCTTCAAAAGGGAAGTTGAACACTGGTATTCCATAGTGTTCAATATCTTCCATGACCTGGCAAAGAAAGTTCAAATAGATCCAAAATTATGTCCTACATGTCTTTGTAAAGCGATAATGCTTACCCTCTTTTTGAAGTCCTTCAGCTCCGAGACAGTCAAGCAATCTGCCTTTCCTATGACCGGAATCACATTTGCTTGAGGAGCAATCCTTTTCATGAACTCGATATCAATTTCTCTCAGGCTGTAGAAGACAGAAGGTTTTAAGATCAATTAGTTTTATTGACATGCTCTCTTATATTCTATCAATGAGTTTACCCATGTCCTGTAGGTGTGATGAAGTATAGGATCACATGTACACGATCATCAATGAATTGTGGGTTTCGTTTGACTCGCATTTCTTGGTCAAGCATTGATTCATATTGATCATCCAGGTATTGATTGATGATTCCAAAGGCCGACTCGTTATCTAGATTATCACCAAACCCTGGTGTATCGCAAACAGTAAGGGAGATATGAACATTATCCTCCTTAAGCTCGACGGACTTTGTAGTAACCTGAACTTCGGGTAGTTCTAGAGATAGAGCAGAATTTTAATCGATCGGAAAGGAGGTAAGACGACAGTTGTTGTAAGTCAACCACGACGAGACGGATTTGTCGAACCTGTAGCTCCTTCTTTAATTGGGTCAGCGTGCGAGAGCCAGCCTTTCTTTCCTACGAGCGTATTGATAAATGTTGTTCGACCAGTCCCAGAAGCCCCAACGATCTAATCCGGACACCCTCCCAATGATGGTTACCTACTGAGTCACAATCATGAAGATAAAGAGATCCGATAGACATACCATCAATGTCTAAAGGTCGAAAAACCAATCAGGATTAAGAAGTCGGGTCGATCAATCAACAAGAGAAACTTGATCAATAGGACATACAGAACTGGATTGCAGAGTTCAAAGAAGACACACAAGTTGAACGCCTCTCTTACTAGTTTTTTTGGGTCTTGAGAGTAAGGCAGGCATATTGAGCTTAAGGATTCAGTAATCGCAATGAGACCAAGTGACGTATGCCTTGTACGAAGAATCAAAATGATCAAAGTGAGTTCCGCCACCAAAGCAATCCGCAAGGTCATTTGTCGATGAACTGCAAATGATGGCATTGGCTGCGAATCGATTATCACCGGGTGTATATGGGAATACGCACAGATGAAATGGCACGTATGAGCGGCTTTACATCAGAGTTCCCAAGATCTGGATAGCTAGATTGGGCTTGCTTATGGTTCGGTCCTTGCGCATGATGGATTCACTAACCCCTACTAACCCTCACCTGATGATTGCTCATTGACAAGAAAACTGCGCAACAAATCAACATTCCTCACTGAATAACCCAGCTGGGATATGTGAATTTGTAACTTTGAGTCCAAGTTTCAAGGTAGGTTCAAATTGCCATAGAATACCATTCAACTCAGATACAAGAGTTTGAAGCAACACAAACATTTGTGTCGGTGCAAGATTGTTATACCCCATTCACATGATCGATGGGCTGGTCATAACATCAAGACAATCCATTATGTAATCTACACCAGTTATGCCAGGATGCCTTCCAGCCTCTTACGTCGTCGAGCCTCGAGGAGCCACTGACGGATCAATCTTTCGATTGGGGTCCATGAATTGTCGAACAAGGTCATCTGTGACAGTCTTTTTTCGCTGTGTCGATTATGAGGAGCAAGAAAAGCCCAAGGGGTTAGTCATCAAGAGACTTCTGATAGAGAATTGCAAGAGTGGAATTTGAAATTAAGGATGCATATATGAGAACAATGGAAACCAACCTCTTGGAAGGCATTCACCATGTTCTGTAGCGTTTCAATGCAGATCGATTTCAGTTCCCCTGTCAACATTTGCCCAGACTCGTACTCAGCAGCAATTTTTTCTAATTTTTCATCAGACTCTTCAAAAAAGGTGAGGTACTAAGTAAACAGAGAAGTATGCATCAAGATCACACTATTGAGGAGTAATAAGTAGAAAAATGCAGATGGACTGTACCTGATACGAGACATCTACTTTACATCTACCGCCTACTTTCCTATGCTCCTCAATCGTAGCTTGGCCACCCGAGAATGCATATTTGTTGATTTTGTTCTTGACTTGTTTGGGCGTATCACTCATAAAAATTGCACTACTGTCAACTGAACTAGACATCTTACTGTTGGGTCCTTGTAAAGCCGGAAAGAATTTGGACAGTAAGAGTGATGGTTTTGCTCTCTTAAGCCGCGTGGACACGTCACGGGTGAGTCGAAAATATGGATCTTGATCAATGGCGCAAGGGATCAAGCACGGAACGTTGTCCTTTGCAGAATATATCTGGGGGAATGATGTACACATTGCAGGAGCCGCTTGGACAGCGACGAAGTGGGATTTTCCGATGTTGTCACTAAGAAGAAACAAATGAGACATCAGTCAGTATGCGAATAAATAACATCTAAGGATGAAAACTACGGAAGAATGGGCACTCAACGTATCAGTGAAACCAAAAGTGGCTTTGCTTTGATTATAGGTGATTGCACGAGATATCTGCAGCACATTTCTATAAAATGCGCCACTGAAGCCGCAATGTTCGGATATCTCAGTTGGCTTGCATCGAAGTGATTTAAACAGGGGAATTTAAGTCACCCTACGTAGTCCACGTCCGAAAAGATGAAAGTCTTTTCAAGTTTGAACCCACAAGCAATGATATCTCGAGCATTTTCAAATGCAAATTTGTGGCAATCTTCCAATTTCAAATCTGGTTTGAACAGAAATTTTTCGTCATCTAGCAGGGTCAAGAAAGATGCATCCAGATGTCAGGAAGGTAGGTGACCGGATATACGATAGTGGCGAATATGCAAACCAGTCAGTTGGATGACTAATGGAACGTCAAACACTTCTTGAAGCCATCTGGAAAAAGTGGACCGCCATCAGATGCCGGTCAGAATCAAGGTAAATCATACTGCATACGTACTGTGTGACAATGAAAGGTACCATGTGCCCTAGATGCATACTTCCAGTTGAAGGGCCTCTGCCAGTGTAAAGATAAAATGGTTTGCCTTGCTCATAGCGGTCCAAAATTTGATCCAGTTCCCTGCGGGAGATATAAGGTCAACTCATGATTGTCAAAAACAAACTCAAACACGCCACTTGACCGCAACGACTCCATGCTGCTCTGCATGATGACGCACCGATGGGAAAAAAACATCCCCCTTCTCAACAAAGGATGTAGCTTTCGCTGAGTCAAACTCTCAAAGCGCTCGAGGAGTTCAGGTGTGATATGCTTTGTGCCAAACTGTTCGATCAGTTTATTGTAATCGATGTCCTGTTGGATTCCATCGACTACCGCGCCCTTCACGTCCCAAGGATCTACTACTTGTTCTTGATTGACGGTCGGGACAGCCGCTGGCATGGCAGATGGAACAGGTGAGGCTTGGGAACTTGACGGAAAGTACTCGCTCATGGGTGAGTGAGCGATGTTTCCCAATTCATCGGTTCGAGGGCTATGAGAACGAGAGACCCGTCAGCGTCCCGGGAGACAATAAGGTTGAACAAATGCAATCACAATGGCTCAGGGGTGCGTAATCCATCTGCCCGCATATTGGCCCTCATAAGGCGCTCGGGTACCGGTAAACTCAAGCTGGCCAGTGAGTTCTGTAGGACCTCATGCTGAAGCTGTCGGTCGGTTTCATTGACATGGGATATGAGAACTGCTCAAAGCAAAGACAATTAACTACGAGCCAAGAATCGAGAACGGCATATACTAATCTCTTTCAAAACAACAACAAACCTTCAGGATCACCCATGTCCATAGTTGATAATTTCACATCTCGGTCACCAATGATTTTTTGATCGGTTTCTTTAAGTTGAAGGGTTTTCAAGACTGAAGGTTCCGGTAGATCGAGTTTAGCAAGTTGATCAGAGACTTCTTGAAGCTGTCGTTCATTTCGTAAAGCACTTTCTGGATCTTGAATGATAGTCATGGTGTGCTTTTCTTTCGATTATTTTGGGTGCTTGCTTCTTATCAAATTGAAGGTTGGATTTACATAAATTCCTACATACAAATTATGTATCAACCATGTGTAACTCTTGGCCTGATCACTTTATCCGCAGCTCGGTTAAACCCGATTCGAAGTGGTGCATCCGGACTGAACGCGCGGTACAGTTATGACTCTGAGCTTCGACCTCAGGAAATAGGGACTGGGCGAAGCTCTGCAAAATTGCAATTCAACCGTAGTTGAAAGCGAGTTGCAAACAGCTAAGCCACTGTTCAATCAATATGAAATTTCCTTATTTTTTTTAGTAAGCTTTATGGCACTAAAAAAAATAGGGTGGCGCACAGGCATGACCCTCCCTAAGACGAGCTGTCTATTCAAAATTTCCCCCCCCACCTCAGCCAAAAGCCTATGGCAGAACGCTTCTGGATAGCCTGATATACCTTTCACAGGTTGCTCTCGCTCTGGTTTTGGTGAAATCATCTGACAGTCGGGTCTCTTGGGCTTGTAGGAGTAATCCTGACACCTCCTGTTTGCATAAATCGCTTCGGTCGACTTCCAGGGGATTCATGCGCTTATTGAGGTGGCTAAATCCTCTGTCGGTCGAAACCTCGCCCAGTCCCTAATGCTGAAAGAACTCGATAGAGAGTGCTCTGCGACCATTGAGGCGTGAACATAATTCTTGGGCAGGGAGGCCCAAGTGGCGGATCTTGGAACTGCTGGGTGCTACGGAACGGCTGACTAGCTCATCAAATACCTCATTGTGAACGATCAATGGTGTCAATTGGCTTCCTAAGAGCATCCGCAACCGTTTGCGTTAAATTTGGAGTTAGTTAACTTTAGGTTAAAGATCTTTAGCCGGAGCTAAGTAATCTGACACAAAATTCCACAGTGGCTGTCTTTAACTCCAAGTTAAAGAAAGCTAAACTCCAAGTTAAAGACTGGGCCTACAGTCGTCAGCTCTAGCTTGGAGCTAAGCTGTCCTCACTTTTGCAAGTGCTCCTGTGTTTGTATTTCATCCATCAATGTGAGCTCGATCTTTCCCTTTTGATCAATTACCATCTTCTAATTTCGATCCCACACATCCATTACTCAATCAATTCCATCATGAGCATGTTTTTTTGAACAACTCTATTATCATCTAAGATAACATGCAACTAAGTGATTGAGATCGATGCAAAAAGAAAAATGAAATTGAGGTGAAACTTGAAGTGGGAGTCGTGGACAAAGAGTCAGCAAAGCTTCAAGTCAGGATCGAGGTACATTGGTGAAGTCGTGTAGGGTTGGTGAGTGACTTGATGTGTGGAAGTGTAGTGTGGTGGGTGTTGTGTTTTCAAAATTCGAGGGCACGGAGTTAGCTACCGCGTCGGTAGGGGTAGGCTGGGATAACTTTGTCCCAGCCTACCGATTTTTTGTCGAAAAGCTAACTAACGATCGGTTGAAATTTGACCATTGTGGAAATTTCGAGATCGGTAAGTTAAATACTTAGAGCATCCACTATCGTTGAGGTAAAATTACTGTAAATTTTACTGTACAGATTTCAATGTACTGTAAAGTCACTTACAGAAACGTCGAGATCCACTATCATCTCTGTATCCTCATTCTGTACGGTACGTACCGTACAGAAAAGTCCCTTGCCCACAATCGTACCTTCTGTATTATCTGCAACGTGTACAAATCTTCAAGCAAACCTTCACAAAAGTTCACAAACCATCCGCAATCGATCTTCAAGGTCTCAAAACTCAATTATAACTCAATCTATGGATTCAGACAATGACCCCGAATACGACTTGCAGATCAACGAGCTTCTATCAAATACCATTATTTGTAATCACCTGCAGAACATCCGAGAATCCGAAGCAGCCCACGATGATAGTGATGAGGCCTTCTTGGCCCTAGAGTTAAATGATGAGCAGATGACTCACGGACAAAAACAAAGACGAAAAAGGATAGTCCGTGAAAGACAAGAAGACCACGACCGTCTGGTTCGTCTTTACTTTGCCGAAAACCCACGGTGGGATGACGAGGTTTTTCAGTGTCGCTTCAGAATGAGCAGGGACAGATTTTTGGATATCTGTCGAAACCTTGAAGCTCATGACCGATTTTGGATACAAAAATACGTATGTATATCTTCTTTCGAGTCTTTCAGCTTGATTCAATTTGATGGAGTAGTTCTTTCATCCTGTAGGACTGCTGCCTGCAACTCGGGCTATCTACTCTACAGAAGGCCACCTGTGCAATACGACAGCTTGCATACGGGGTTTCAGCAGACCTCACAGACGAGCTTGTTAGTATTGGGGAAACTACTGCTATACTATGTTTAAAAAAGTTTGTGACCGGAATAATAGATATATATGGAGCTGAATATCTCCGCCCACCAAGAGAAGACGAGCTCGAAAAGATTACCAAGGAGTATGAAATTCGAGGTTTTCCCGGTTGTAAAGGCTCAATAGATGGGATGCATTGGGTTTGGAAAAACTGTCCTTCCGGATGGGCAGGACAGTTTCAAGGGAAAGAGAAGAAAGCCACGATTGTCTTGGAGGCTGTGGCATCCCAGAGCACACGCATATGGCATGCGTTCTTTGGAGTGCCAGGTTCTCTGAATGACATAAATGTCCTTAATGAAAGCCCTTTATTTCATAGGTTTTTAAGTGGTTGGTAGTTTCTCTAACTTTACCTTCACAAAGTGCAGAACTGACAAGTTCTTCAATCAGGCACCGATGAATTGCTGAGGTTTGAGGTCAACAATCACCAATATGAGCGTGGCTACTACCTTGCAGATGGTATATACCCCACGTGGCCGGTCTTAATTAAATCGATCAATCAGCCAGGAGATGCTGCGTCAGCATGTTATGCAACACTACAGGAGGCCGCTCGAAAAGATATCGAGCGAGCGTTTGGTGGCCTTCAAGCACGTTGGCACATCATCGCTCATCCATGCAGGCTCTGGCTTCTACACGACATACGTAGAGTTATGTATGCCTGCATCATTCTTCATAACATGATAGTCGAAGAACGGGAGGTGGAAGATCCTCGAGTCGAAGAATTTGCCACAAGGTCGTCTATTGTTCCAAATCGCCATAATCCAGGTGTCCGTCTATCTCCTGAAGATTTGATCTCGAATTTTATTGATTTACGAGATTCTGAGATTCATCATCGCCTGATGAACAATCTCAAAATTCATAACTGGGTGGCACGAGGGGGACAACTACATGTTTAATTGGAATATCTTCGGATAGCTTGTTTGTTTTTGTTTCATTGGCCTATACAATCATATATCCATCTTTTTGTGGTTTCATTTGTCTTTATCTTTAAGAAATACAAGCAAAAGTTGAGAAGTAAAACAAAAACCAACCATAACGTTGTAAACAAAAAACACACACACATGGTTTTGAATCGAATGAAATCAAAAAAAATCGAGCAAGATGATGTGAAATGGTTCTAATTGTTACTAGTGGAGGCAGAACTATACTTTTCATTCAATCTTTTTTGCATTAATCTGAGGGTTTCCTTGGCAAGCTCGCTATCACAATTCTCTTCCTTCATCATTAAGACCTTGAGATCATTCACTTGAACTAAACTGTCTTTGGCCTCAGCGTCTTTCATAGCCATCTTCCTGGTGAGTTCATTTCCTTCTTCGAGAGCCTTCACTCGTCGTTCAGCTAACTCATTTGTCAATTTAAGTTGTTCTTGACAATCTTCTTCAATTTCAGACTTCATATCGCTAAGTCGTTGTCGTTTAGTCTTCTTATTCCCAGTTGGGCGAGGAGGCGTCAAGGCACGAGGGGTACCAACTCGTGATTCTTGAGCTGAGTCGCTGGAGGAGGCACCGGAGGAGTCGATCAGGGGGTTGCTGGCGCTTGCAATTGACATTGCTAGAGGTCCCGGTGGAGCACGTGGCACAATCCACTTCGGAGCCACAGAAAGGATTCGCCACGCTCCGAGAGACTTGAACTGAGCTCTGGTGTTGGTTTCGTTGTAGATCTTGATCGCGAGGTCAGGCCAATCAGCCTGAACAGTCCCGCTGGGAGGACTATGTTCGATCTGAGCCATGATGGCAGAGAACTTGATTGTAGCAGTCTTCAAAGCAGACCATCTGCAAAGATGGTTTGATTCAGTTTCACTCATCGGACAGATGAGAATAAAGAGCTTGAAGTTGACTCACTTGACTTTAACGGATTTGAGATCTCGTGGGGGATTTAAAGACGAGATGGACGCGAGGTGGTCAGTGACGCTTTGGAAAAAGATGTCGCTAGTCTGATTGGTGCCTTTCTCGGGTTGCTGGCTGATGTGAAGCCAAGATGTGGCTAGCATCTCTTCTTCGGCAGGAGACCAATTGGTGGCCTTGATTTTTTGACCAGTTGATGTGGGTTTCTTTGAATCCGTGTTGATCTGTTCTTGGTTTGAATTCATTGAG